TGTGTACAGTGTAATGGCAACAGAAATACGAGCACTAAGTCTGTCTGAGGCAGTCATAGAAGGTTACACAAGGAGGTGATGTTCAAGCTGACAGTCTCAACAGAAAATGGTCTTTCAAGCCTGGAAGAGTGGCTCAAGCGGTAGAGCACCTGCTTAACAAGGAGGAGGCCCTGAATTCAAACCCCATTACTGCCAAAAAAAAAAAAAGAAAGAAAAAGAAAAATTTACATTTGGATGGAGACCTGGCTCAAGTGGTACATTATCTGCCCAGCAAGTGCAAGGTCCTAAACTTTTGGCCCCAGTACTGCCAAAAGAAAAAGATCTGTTTATCTATGCAGTGTTTAATAAAAATATTTCTTGGGCTGGTGGAGTGGCTCAAGTAAAGCACCTGCCCAGCAAGTGTGAGGCCCTGAGTTCAAACCCTAGTACCACCACCAAAAAAAAAAAAAAAAAAAACCCCACCATATGATACAGCAATTTAATTATTGGGCAAATAACCAAAGGAAATAAAATCAATATGTTGAAGACACATCTGTACCCCCATATTCACTGCAGCACTATTCACAGTAGTCAAGATGGAAACAACGAAATGTCTACCGATAAACAGATGAATGGATAAAGAAAAAGTCTTAATCTCAGTCTCTCTTCTCTCTCTCTCTCTCTCTCTCACACACACACACACACACACAAATATTATTTGTCCTTAAAGAAGAAAATCCTACCATTTGTGATAACATGGAGGAACCTGGAAGACATTATGCTAAATGAAATAGCCAATGCACAAAAAGGGAAATTTTGTATAATCTCATTTATTTGTGGAATCAGAACTTGTCAAACTCAGAGAAGCAGAGAGTGGAATGGTGGTTAACAGGCTCTGGGGTGTGAGAAATGGAGTTGTTTAATGGGTATAAAGTTTCTGTTATGCAAGGCGAATGAATAAATTCAGTATAGCAACTATAATTAACAATACCGTACACTTAAATTTGTTAAGATGGTAAGAAACAGACTTCTTGCCAACATTAACACTAAGCTGTCACCATGTGAGTGAGCCTCCTTGAAAGTGGAACCTCCAGGCCTGATCAAGACTCCCTAAATGACTCTACCATGGTCCACCTCTTAACTACAGCTTCATGAGGGACCACAACCACCAAGCTAAGCTTGCTCTTGAACTCCTGACCCATAGAAGCTATATGAAATGATAAATGTTTATTGTTGTTTAAAAACCATCAAGGGAGCTGGGTGCCAGTGGCTCACAAAAATAGCTACTCAGGAGGCAGAGATCAGGAGGATCGGGGTTCGAAGCCAGCCCAGACAAATAGTTCAAGAGACCCTATCTCAAAAAAAAGAAAAAAAAAAAAAAACAACCCTTCACCAAAAAAGGACTAGTGGAGTGGCTCAAGTGGTAACAGTGCCTGCCTAGGAAGTATGAGGCCCTGCATTCCAACCCCAATGATGCAAAAAAAAAAAAAATTCAAGGAAATGAACATGGACACATAGGCCAAGGCACTATCACGTGGAAACTTCAGGCCTGGATTTTATCCTGCTCACCAGCAGGTTTTTCTTTTTTTTTGGCAGTGCCAGAATCAAACCCAGGGCTTGTACATGCTAGGCAGGTGCTCTACTACTGAGCTATATCCCCAGCCGCTAACCAGGATTTTAAAATTTCTTCTCCACAATGATCTCTAAATGAAATCATGGAAGGGGGCAAACCTTAATGGATTGGGCTGAACTCTTCCTCAATCAGAGCAGTTTCCTGCCATCAGTCTTATTTGTTTATACTTCTGGGTAAGAATTTCACTGAAGAAAGTCATTTAAGGGAAGTGAAGCAGGGGACTGACCGATCGTGCACTTTATATAACTTGGGCAGACGACAGACTGGAGGAGAGCAAAGCTAGAGGCAGAAAAACCATGTATAAGAGGCCACTTTAATAGCCCAAGCAAGGGGCCTTGGAAACTTAAATGATGGCAACATAGCAGGGCTGAACAGGAGACAGCTATGAGAGAGGTGGACAGTACTTGGTGAGTGACTGGGGGAGTACAGAAGATGATGGGGGTGAGGATGTATGAGACAAGGAGAGACTGACTCTCATTTCTGGATGCAGCCACTCAATGAATCATGGTGTCATAGGAGAAGGAAAAGGAAGGACCTGAACTTGGATCACAGTAATAGAGACGAGAATGCAATGATTTCAACACAAGAGCGTCCTCTCTCATATACAAGAAATCCAGAGGAAGGCAGTTCTTGGCAACGGTTGAGACCTAAGGATAGCATGACAAAGGCTCTGCAATTCTTCTGGTGTTTCCTTCCCAGTCCCAGGATGGCTGCTAGTGCTCCCATCATCATGTTGGTTTTCCAAAAAGGAGAACAGGTTAAGGGGAGACAAGGAAAAAGGGCTTTCCTCAGAAGCTCCACCCAACAACTTCTACTTCCACTCCTTTTGCTTGGAAGAAGCTGTCACAATCAGAATCTTAGTTGTTGAGAAAGGAGGCTGGAATTTGTACTCTAACTTACAGACACTAGAATATAAGAGGGTATAATAGAAGAGTTTAAGGCTGGCCATGGTGGTTCATGCCTGTAATGCCAGCTATTCAGGAAGCTGAGAAGGATGATAGTTCAAGGCCACTCCAGGCAGAAGAGTTAATGAGATGCCATCTTGATCAATAAGCCAGGCACAGTGGCATGCACCTGTGGTCCCAGCTAGGAAAGAGACTATAGGTAAGATCACGATCTGAGACCAGCACTAGACAAAAATGTGAGATACCCACCTGAAAAATAACTATATCAAAAAGAGCTGGGCATAATTCCAGCTTCTTGTGAACCTTCACAAACATCAAGGAAGTCAACAGCATCAAGGGAGGCATGGTCAACAAAGATACAGACAGAAAAGCACCCACTGGATTTGCAACTAGGGAGTGGGAACAGAAAGAGGGCAGGAGGGATGGCAGTGTCAAAGGAGGATTACTTTGGAACAGAATGGCCCTGGGGCATGTGCTCAGCAGACAGCTGTTTTCAGTAACTGGCGCTTCCTATATACTCAGAACAGCAAGAGCAGACCAAAATTCCACCATGAGGGCTGGGGCCTTGGTGCATGTGGCTTAGCAAGTAAAAGGCCCAGTACCTCTAAAAACAGATTCCATCCTGGTCAACAGAGGAGCACACTGAGCGGGCCCTTGGAAAGGCTGTTCATGACTGGAGCAAGGCGGGAGTTTACATGGCTGTGGGAAACTCTTTAAGAACTCTGTAGCTCAACAGTCCAACACGGCCAGAGGCCCTTGGCCTGGCACTAAGGCGAGGCCTAAAGCTAGCTCACCTCCAGGGTGTCAGAGTGGCTGGATTTCAGGGTTTATACTTCAGTCTAGTGTCACCCCAGTAGTTTTCTGACCTAGTGATGATACCATCTAATTTATGGTGTCAGATTACTTTCTATACTAACTGAATAATACATATTAACTTAATATATAATATTATATATGTAATTATACATAAATATTATATATAATAAATATCTGAGTGGTCCTAAAGATAGCCAGTTGATAATTTTCAAAATCAGAAACCTAAGGGCTGGGGACATGGCTCAAGAGCTAAAGGCCCTGAGTTCAAACCCCAATAGTGTCAAAAAAAATCAGCAACCTAAATAATGGATAAAGACAAAGCACAAGAAAATGGATTAGCATTAGATAGGACATGGTATCTACAAATCTTCCCTATACCATAACAGTATTTTCCCAATACTTCCGGAAGGACCTTCCTTTGCAAATTTCCTAAGTTTTATAACCTGTGCTCCCAGGTGTATCTCGTACATAACCAATTTTTCTCTTTAGCTGCTCAATTCTAGAAGCCCAGTTGTCATAATGGGGCTGGTACCTGATTTGTTACTAAAAGTCACCTAGTACTTTATTATAGCAGCTCCAGCATACTCCTATACTGGTATATTCCAGACTTCTAGGACAGTACCTGGCACATAATAGTTCAGTAAATTAAATATTTGCTGAAAAGTGGATGGATTTAATTCCACAGGATTGTGGCATTTAGCACCTGTTGTTGGCCCCTCTCATACCCCCCTGTAAACACACACCTTGAGACACTCTTTTGTTTTCCATATCAGTAGGTTCTCCTGGTTCTGTTCCAATTCTTTTCTCTGCTTTTTAAATCTTCAGTCCTCTCTTTTTTTCTCAGAAACTTTGAAGTATATTCAGTCCTCTCTTCTTGTTCCACACTCTTTCTATGTAAATTTATCCCCTCCAAGCTTTAACTTCCTAATATAAACCAAGGATTCTCAAATTGAACCACTTCACTCCCCTGCTTAAAAAAGAAATGGAAATAGCCACAATCTTTTGGAGTCTTTTCTGACCACCATTAGGGCAAAGTGACCCACTCCCATCTGTTTTCCCATAGCCTTTTTGTGTGTGGCTTAAACTCAGGACCTACACCTTGAGCCATTCCACCCGCCCTATTTTTGTGAAAGTTTTTTTCGAGATAGGGTCTCTCAAACTATTTGCGCAGGCTGGTTTCAAACCTCGATCCTCCTGATCTCTGCCTGCTGAGTAGCTAGGATTACAGGCCCTCCCATAGCCTTTTGTTCACACGTGAATTTCTTTGTCACAATAGGTAGCCTGTTCCCTCACTGTGCCGTGAGCTCTTTCTAAAGACCGTGCCTCATTCATTCACAGATCCAGGACCTAGCTCAGTGCCTGGCACATGGTATGCTCCAAAAGATTACAAGTTGAATAAACTCATCCAAACCTGTAATTTACAACCAAATGACAGCTACCAAATGACAATGGAATTACATCTCAGCACCATTTCAACAAAGCACACACACACACACACACACACACACACACAAAGGATTCTACTGCATAATCAGAAAATAGAGAACTACCACAAATGTCAAGTACTGGGCCCAACTAGATGATCTGTTCAACACTAGATTTAAATTCTTCATAAACAGACTCCAGCACAATAGTAAAATACTAGTCAGAGACTATCAATTCCCTACCTCCGAAGATACGTGGTCTCCTCATCTTCTGTGTTACAAAACTTGTGGGCATGTTTGGCAGCATCAATCACACGGGATCGGTCCCGGGGCCTCATGGGCAGTTTCTCTAACTGACAATCTGAAGGAATGGAGAAAAAATTGGTTACTAGAATCACTGAAAAATTTCTTAAGCTAAACATAAGTTTTCAGTGAGGCCCTTAGCACATTATTATTAAGCCTATTACTGAATTCTCCAACTAAAAATTACTTGGTATCATGAAACCTTCATTTTGGTCCCAGCTCTCTTATTACCCTGGTCATTTTTGGCAAATCTCATCCTCCTTCAGGGACTTTTTCCTCATACATACATACACATATAATTTTATTTTATCGATTTTGTATTTACTCTTTTGAAAGATGAATGGATTAAATTATCCCAATGTTGCAATTTCAGGTTTCTCTGATCATTAGTACATTGGTTCATGTTATAATGCATTAGACTGAGAAGAAGTAATAAAGCAAGCATGTTGGAAAGCCTATGAAAAAGACAATGGAAAAAGTGAATAAGTATTAAGAAAAAAGGGTATATGGTATGATGTATATAGTGTGCAAATGACCCAGCCTAGTCAGAGGAGTTTTAATCTGAAAACGCATATGAAATAAATCAGGTACAGTTATAAAGCAGACAGAAAATTGGTGCAATGCAAATTAAGTAAAGAAAGGATCATAGATAAAGTCAAGTGGTCAGAGTGGTTGGAGATTAATGATGTGGAGAAGGGGGTTAGAGAACACTAATTTACACATTAGCTCATTTACTCTTTTTTGTTATTGTTGTTGGCAGTACTGAGGTTTGAACTTAGGACCTCCACCACTTGAACCAGTGCTTTCTGCTTTAGATCTTCAGATCTTTTTCAAATAGGGTCTTGCATTGCATTTATGCCCAAATTGGCCTTGAACCACCTTCATCTCAATCTCTACCTCCTGATTAGCTAGGATTACAGGTGTGAGCCACCTTGCCCAATTTATTTACTCTTTGCAGGAGTACCACCTACTCAACAGGGAAGAGTACAAGAGGAGCAATTGGAGAGCAGGAAGCAAGGGATCATGAATTAAATTTTAAACATAATATTTGAGAGGCCCATTAGACCTCCAAGTGGACATGTTGAATAGGCAAGTGGAATTTGAGGATAGGTGCAGGCTAATGGTGAACAATGGTGGGATAGCAGAAAATAGGTGGTATTTAAAGCTTGGAAATGGTTGAGATCACCTAGGCAGCAAGTACACAGAGAGAATAGGTGAAAATGCGGAGCTCTAGAGCCTTGAAATACCCAGAAGTCTGAGAGGTTAAAAGGAGCTGAAAAGAGCTAAAAACACTGAAAGGAATTAAAAATCTGAGGTAGGAGGAAAATGAGGAGTGTGTGGAGTCTTGGAGCCAAATAAAGAAATGTGTTACAAGAAAAATGGAGTGATAATATCTCAAATTTAACTGAAAGGGGGATTAAAATGAGCACTGACTAGGCATGGTAGAGCACAGCTGTAATCCCAGCACTTGGGAGGCTGAGGGAGGAGGATGCTGATTTCAACACCAGCATGGGCTACACAGTGAGACCATGTCTCAAATAAACAAATACAGCACTGACAATTGACCACTGGAACTGGTAACATGGAGTTCAGTTAGTAATCTTGACAAATAAGGTTGACATGGTGACGTACAAAGGAAAGTCTGCTCCAAGTCAGTCAAGCGACAGCCAATATTGGAAACTCTTTAGAGAAGTTTTGCTATAAAAGCAGCAAAGAGATGAGGTTATAGCTGGAGGGAAATGTGGATCAAGAGAGGGTATTGTTTTCATTCTAAGATAAGAGGTACTACAACATCTTTTTCTAGCAACAAAGGTACAGTTTGTAGAGCTGGTAGTTTTTGTTGTTTTGTTTTTGGCTGTACTGGTGTGTGAATTCAGTCACGGCCTCGCGCTTACAAGGCAGGCATCTGCCACTTGATCCACTCCACCAGCCCAAGTTGGTAGTTTTGTAGAAAGTGGATTGAGAGGGAGATGCAGTATTTTTTCTGAAGGAGGGTTTTAATTTGAAGGAGGTCTGGATAGAGTCACAAGGTTAAGCAGAAAACAGGAAAAAATGGCTTTGTACGAAGCAGGAATGCGTACGGGGGGGATTGTGACGGTAAGGAAAAGCCTACCAATCTTCAAGGAGAAATCCCAGCCCTCAAGAACCCGAAGTCTGCCAGGCTCTGCTGACTCACGCCTGTGACCCTAGCTACTCAGGGGGCAGAGATCGCTGTTCGAAGCCAGCCCAGGCAAATAGTTCGCGAGCCCCTACCTCGAAAAAACTCGATACAAAAAAGGGCTGGTGGAGTGGCTCAAGGTGAAGGCCCTGAGTTCAAACCTCAGTATAAAAAAAAAAAAAAACCAGAAGCCTCAGTTCAAGAGCCAGTACTTCCAAAGACAAAAAAAAAAAAAAAAAAAAAAAAAAGACCCGAATCCTCGCTCCCGGCGACGCCCTCCGTCCCCACAACTCACCCAGCACCAGGACCATCTGGCCGCACAAACAGTAGTAGACGTGAAGTGGCTTCTCGCCATCGTCATACTCCTCGCGGTCCCGGGTGTCAGAGCAGACTACCGACCGAGACACTACTTTCGGCATAGTTTGGAAGAGCGACCAGAAAACTTGACGGCGGGCCACAGAGTCGCACAGAATGACGTCACCGACGCGCGCTGCGTCTTTTCCCTAAGGCAACGTTTGTCACGTGACCATGTAGCGTCATAAACTTCCGAGTGGCGAGTCAGTCTCTGATGCTCCTGGGCGCCGGAGTCGCCCGGAAGCTCCTTCACCTTGGCTAAGACTACTTTAGTTGCGACATCCTTAATTGTTCTATACACTCGTGAATATTTATGATACACATTTGCATATATGTATATGTAAAACCTGACATAACAAAGGACTATACAGTACACACTATATATATGCATAATACTGATTTTAGGTGTGCCTCTAAATTTTTTTTTTGTTTTCTTAGTGGGGCTGGGATTTGAACTCACGACTTCGTGCTTGAGCCACACCTCCAGTCCATGATTTTTATTGTAAATCACGGTATTCAGGATGACTGCCTAGAGGCATCTTCTTTAAAAAGATATAATTCACACCCGGGCTCGGTGGCTTACACCTGTAATGGCAGGTATTCTAGAGGCACCGATCAGGAGGTTTGTGGTTCAAGGCCAGCCTAGGCAAAAATTTGTAAGACGCCCTCCCCCACCCCCAAACTCAACAACAATAACAACAAAAAAGCTAAGCATGGTGGTGTGCCTGTCACGGAAAGCTTCATGGGAAGAGTAAGTAGGAGAATGACAATCCAGGCAAATATCATGGGACCCTATCTCAAAAATAAGCAAAGCTAAAAGGTCTGGGGGTATGGCTCAAGTACTAGAGAATTTGCCTAGCAAGCACAAGGCCATGAGTTCAAACCACAGTGCAGCCAAAGAAAAACAAAAGATAAAACTCACCTTACATAAAGTATACTATTTTAAAGTGTATAATTCCGTGGGTTTTAGTATATTCACAAAGTTGTGCAACCATCGCCATTATCTAACTCCAGAATATTTTAATTATCTCAAAAAGAAATCCTACACCTATTACTGGTTACTGCCTAACTCCATCCCAGTCCCTGGCAACAATTAATCTGCTTTCTATGTCTATAGATTTGCCCATTCTGGACATTCCACGTAAATGGAATTACATAATATGTGATTATTTGTATGACTTCTTTTAACAAAATGTTTTCAAAGTTTAGCCATATTGTAGAACTTAATCCCTTTTTATGGTTGCATAGTATTTCATTGTATGGATATTTTGTTTATCCATGCATTAATTGTTGGACATTTTCCTTGTTTCCACTTTTAGGATATTATAGACAATGCTGCTATGAACATTAGTGTACACGTTTTTATCGGGATAACTACTTTCCATTCTTTTGAGTGTATACCTAGGAGTAGAATTGCTGGGTCAGATGGAAAGTCTATATTCAACCTTTTGAGGAATTACCAGAAACTGCACAATGTTACATTCCCATCAGCAATATATAAGGAGTCTGATTGCTCTACATCCTTGCCAACAATTGTTAATGTCTGTTTTATTTATTTTATTTATAGTTTTCTTTTTGATGGTACTTGAGCCATGCCTCCAGCCCTTGTCTGCTTCTTTTTTTGTTTTTCTATTTTAGCCATCCTGGTGGGTATGAAGGGTGTGAAATGGTATTTCATTGTGGCTTTTTTTTTCTTTGAGTACTTTCTGTACAGTACTTCTTCCTGACAGTATTGCTACTTTGTGGTATCCTGGACACACTATTCGTTTCTTTTCTTTTTTTTTTTTTTTTTCGTGGTTCTGGGGTTTGAACTCAGTGCCTCACACTTACTAGGTAGGTACTCTACCACTTGAGCCATGCTCCCAGCCCCTCACTGTGGCTTTGATTTGCATTTCCCTGATGACTAATGATGTCAAGTATCTTTTTTTTTTTTGACGTTACTGGCATTTGAACTCAGGGCCTCATACTTGCTAGGCAGCTGCTCTAACATTTGAGCCACTCCACCAGCCCTGTTTTTGTGTTGGGTTTTTAAGATAGATAGGGTCCCTGAACTATGTGCCTGGTCCTGGTCTCTGCCTCACAAGCAGCTAGAATTACAGGCATGTACCACTGGAGCCCAGCTCATGTATCTTTTTATGGATTTCTGGCCATTTGTATGTCTTCTTTGGAGGAATATCCATTCAAATTCTTTGCCCATTTTGAATTGGGTTATTTGTCATTTTATGGTTGAGTTGTAAGAGTTTTTGTGGTGCTGGGGATTGAATCAGGTCCTCACAATTGGTAGGCAAGAACTCTAACACTGAGCCACAAAAGTTCTTGATGTATTCTGGACCCAAATCATGTAAATGATTTACAATTACAGGGATCTTAAAAATCCTGTTCCCTCCACGTATAAGAGGGCATCTTCCACTCTTCCTTCCCAACCCAGAAATGCTCAGAATTCTCTTTGTGGATGACAGGTACCTGGGGCAATTTATATAGGATACCTTCAATAATCCAAGTGATGGCACCAAAATAGTGGATTTTTAACAGAGACTTTAGTGAAAAGAGCAGGACCTTGTGACTAGAAGTTTGCAAGATATAAAACCATGGGAATTTAAATCAGTTTACTGTCCCTTGAATGAATTACATAAAGTATTAATCATTCTTTTTTGTGTGAGGCAAGATGTCCCTATGTAGCCTAGGCTGGCCTCAAACACATGATCCTCCTGCCTCAGCCTCCCAAGTACTGGGATTACAGGTGTGTAGCACCACACCAGGCAAAACTATTCTTTATGTTTTGTTCTTTGAGGTGCTGGGGATTGAAACCATGGCTTTGTGCATGCTAGGAAAACACTCTGTCACTGAGCTACACCCCCAACCCAAGTAAAGTTTAAGAGAATTATCAGTGTAAGCCTTGGAGAATCACAGTGCTGGATCATTAGATCTCAGTCCAAAGTTTTCATTATGATTCTGCTAGTCAATATTTATTGATCTTCTAGTGGACATCAGGCATTGTTCTAAATATTGGTCATGTAGTGATAAGTTATCATTGTCTCATCCCTCACGTGGCTTATTCTAGTGCAGGTGTGGCAAAGGTTTTCTGTAAAGGGCTACAGAATAAATGCCCCAGGTCAGGAAGGCCAAGAAGCAAACTCAAGAACAATATGTAGTTATTTATATAACAAGAGAGAAAACAAATTTCTACAAATATTTTATTGAAAAAATTCAAAATATAATATTAATGTTTTGAGTATAATTTTTTAATACAGGTCTACTAATGAGAAAATGGCATTATTTTATAGAGGAGGGTAATATTTTCTTTCATTAGGGCTCAAAGTGAGTGTCTCCATCATCAAACTCATTTTCAGATTTCATCTATTCATCTATTACATCTTATCTGTAATAAGATTTATTTCATAGTTGAAATTTTCACAGTGATAAATACTGCTATTTAATGGTGTCAGTCCACAAATATATTTTAATTGAGTGGATTCATCTCTTACAGGGCATTTATAGAATTCTATGAGATTATTCTCTTTACATATTTATCTTTTTATCTAGTGCTAGGGATCAAAGATATTTGCCTCTTAATATGAAACCTGCATTGCAGATTAATCACTTCCAACCAGGGTTTACGTAGAAACTCCTCAATCATATGACGAAATTGATTTTGAAATGTAGAAATTTCCTTTGCACTTCTATCAAGGTCTGAAAAACACTGCTGGCACTGTAATTTGAGCTCAGGGAATATGTATATGAATATATACGTGTGTATTTATACATGATATATATGTGTATGTCTGTATACATTTTTCTTTTTGTGTTTTTCCCTTTTTGTGTCTTTTTAAAAATGTTTTTAAATTTTTTATGTTGATTATTTTTGAGCTAAGGTTTTGCTTTATGTCCAGGCTGTCCTGGACCATGATCCACCTAGTTACACTCCTTGCATAGCTTAGATGACAAGTGTGCACCACCAGGTCCAGGTATTTGTTGAGATGGGGTCTCACGACCTTTTTTTTTTTGGCCTGGGTTGTCCTCAAACCATGATCCTCCTTATATCTGCCTTCCAAGTAGCTGGGATTACAAATTCAAGCCACGCACTTGTCCTTGTTTTACGTTTTAACAGCAGATGAAGTCATTAAAGTGGAGGTGTGGCTCAAGTGGTAGAGCACTTGCTTTGCAAGCTCAAAGCCCTGAGTTCAAATCCCAGTCCCACCAAAAAGTCATTAAAGCAACTTGACATTGCTTGTGATTCAAACAATGTTAGCTGTTATCAGATGACTTTACTGCAGTATAAGTGTCACATGTAAGCACTATTTTGTCTTGTAATTTAAGGTAAAGTCATAAAGTCATTAGAGTGCCTGCTTAGTAAGCACAAAGCCCTGAGTTCAAACTCCAGTCCCACCCAAAAAAATGCTATGTAGTGATGCGTTATGGCATTCAGAATGCCATCTGGTTACACTCCATCACTGCAATAGTAGTGCATTAAGCCACAGTGTTACCAGATAAGAGCACCACACATGGCCTCTGTCATAACTTCTCCCACCTGCCATTGTAGCACAAAAGCAGCTTCAGACAGTAAGTAACATCAAGGCTGTGGCCCAGTGACACTGTTCTTGTGGATATTGGTATTTGAATTTTATGTAAGTCACATGTCATGAAATATTCTTCTTTTGATTTTTTTCAACCATTTAAAAATATAGATTTTTTTTTTTGGTGGTACTAGGTTTGAACTCAGTCAAGCTTTCGAAGCAGATGCTCTAATGCGTGGGCCACACCTCCAGCCCTTTATTCCTCTGGATATTTTAGACATAGGGCTTCACTTTTTGCCCAGGTAACCTGGACCATCATCCTCCTATTTTATGCTTCCCATAGCTAGCATGACAGACACTTGCCCCCATGTTCACCTATTGGTTGAGATGGGGTCTAGATAAAGCTTTTGGCCAGATGGTCTCAAACCGTGATCCTGCCTATCTCAGCCTACCAAGTTGCTAGGACTACAGGTGTGAGCCACTCATGGGCACCCAGCTTAGAAGATCTTTTTTTTTTTTTTTTTTTTGCGGTGCTGGGGTTTGAACTCAGGGCCTACACCTTGAGCCACTCCACCAGACCTTTTTTGTGGTGGGTTTTTTCAAGGTAGGGTCTCTC